CTAAAACTTAGTTTTATGGTTCTGAGGCCGGTTGGTAGTCAGGTTTCCCAAACTCTGTGTAAGCTCTCAGAGAGGCAAATTTCATCAACAGCTGAAAAATATAAGAGTATTAACAGTGCCATGTTGCAAATGGTGTCCCTAAAGTTCATACTTTTGGTGTGCATTGTTGAGGCCACATTTGGAACCCTTTGTTACGGCTTAGAGTTTATTATAAGTAATGAGGTAATTGCTTGAACTATTAAAAAGTCTATTGAGTATCTATGCTTTGAGTCAAGTTCTTTAAGAAATTTATAAATGACTAAAGTACCAAAATCTATCAAGCACAAAAAACCATCGTCATCACCAAGTTCTTTAAACCTATCATTCACTAATATTCGTGGTCTTTGAAGTAACTTTTCTTCTGTCAAGTCTTATCTCTTGCAAAGTTCACCATACCTACTTGCTCTTTGTGAGACTAATTTGAGTTCGGCTGTCTCATCTTGTGATGTTAGTGTTGATGGTTATTTTCCTAAAATAAAAGCGTAATTTGCAATTTTATGAATTTAAGTGATAAATGTAAAATTAAAATCAGATTTAGTTACCATTATTTATGACATTTAATTAGAGGTCATCCATAAATTACGTCACGCTGTAGGGGAAGGGCTAGTGGTTTTGTGACAATTTTATACGGAAGTTGTTACTAAAGTCTTACGGTGTTGTTACGGGGGGGAGGGTCTAAAATGGTCAGAAATTGTGTGACTTAATTTAAGGACGACCCCTTATATAATGTTATTTAACTATATTGTAATGTTATTTAATTATATAATGATGCAAGAATCAAGAAACCTTTAAAATTAAGCTTTTTGCTTTACTTTTTCATTTCAGAGTTGATAATATCATAGAAGTAAATAATGACCATGATAAATCAGGATCTGGTGATGAAGTTGATAGCCAATTAGTAATAAAAGAATCGGTAATAATATAGTAATGTTACAGTTATCTTTTTAAATTGTCTTTTTTTCTAATAGACAGAAAAAATGTTTTTCTATTTATATTATACTGGCAAAATCAAAATAAATTTGTTTTAAAAAAAAAAAATTTAAAATAAAAAAAATTTATTTATTGCAGAAACTTCCCTTTAAAGTAACAAATACGCCATATCTAAATCAAAGTGCATCGATACCAACAACTTCAAAAACAGTTACTTCAACATCAGCAGCTTCTACACTAGAATCTTCATCAACAACAACTTTATTACCGACAACTATGACATTACCTTCTTCAACACCACAATCTCTGTTATTTGCAGAGTCCACATCTAAAAAATGTGAAACCCCTGAAAGTGCTGCTGCTCTGTGGATTTCAAATGCTAAGCAAGAATCTGAACTTATTAGTCAAACTCCATTAAACAAACAAATAAATATAAATGTTTGTTTTCTTTTTTTAATTTAATTCTAGTTTTTTTCTTTAACGTTGAGATTAATTTTTATATTTTTGTATATAATACATAAACTTATTTACTAGCATGAGAAATCTAATGAAGATATGAAAAAGCGAGAGTTGTATCTAAAACAACAACGTGATAGGTTGTTAGCAATGAAAAATGAAGAACGCAAGAAGCAACTTTCTCTTTATACTAGCAATTCACAATCAGAACATCCAATTACGTCTAAAGCGGCAAACAATGCTGTATCTGGTCATTTTGAGAAGCAGTTTTCGGAAGAAGATGAGAAGAAAGTTGCGATACGACGGGCGTTAGCTGAGAAACTTAAAAAAGAAGTTATTAACAAATGATTTTGTGAAGTTTTTTAGTTCAGTTAAAAATACTAGTAATGAGTACTTTAGTAATAATAATTTTTTTTTAGTTTTTTGATAATTACTAATACCCAGCAAACATTCTATAGCGGAATCTCAGTGGACCTAAATAGGCATTTTGAGCGGACCGTAGTTTTGCTCATCAATTACTTAGTGGACCATTAGTGGCAGCCGCCAAAAGGGGCTAGCCGATGACTCGCCACTATTAACTTGTCGGAAAGCCATCGACTTGCTAACTACCACTAATGGTCCACTAAATAACCGATGACTAAAACTCCGATGAACTGTTAAAAAATGCTAAAAAAACGAGACTGAATTTAAAGACACATATCTCCTTAAAGGAATAAAATTTTAAAAATAGGAAAACTGTTTTAGAAGATATTTTTATTCTAGTTTTTAAATATTTTATGTTTTTTTTTTTTTGTTTTTTTTTATAGAAAAATGAATAAAAAAATAAATTCAAAACAAGAAGAGATCAGAAAACGTGTGTATGAATTTTATTTAAATTACAAAAATGCAGGTAAAAAGTTCACTTATGACCACTCTAAAGTTGAGAATATCTAAAAGCACTATCTACAAGATAATAAACGTGCTGAAAGTGAATCTGGGTACCAAAGAGTTCAAGGAAGCGGAGTAAAAGTTAAAAAAATGACCAGAACAAACATTTATAGGCCCAAATTCATGTTGACAATAAAGACGGGGCTTCTCAACGACAGGCAGCTAAAAAGTTCAACTGTACTCAGCAACACATTAGTAAAACATTATAAAAGTTCAACTCAGCAACACATTAAGTAAAACATTAAAAAAAAAGAACAAGTATTAAATCAAGAAAAAAAATGACGATTCCAAAACTCTCTGACCAGTAAAAAGCAGTAGCTAGAAGTGCAGTCGATTGTGTCAGAAATTCAAAAATCGTAAATCAATCATTGACGATGAGTCTTATTTCACATTAAATCACTCCAGTATCAATGGAAATGATATATTTTATACTAGTGATGTAAAATCTACTCCATCTACAGTTAAATACCAAACAGAACAAAAGTTTCAAAAGAAATTACTTCAATAGATTGCTTTTTCTGAAAATGGAATTTCTCAACCTTATTTTGTATCAAGTGGACTGGCTGTAAATCAAAAAATCTATTAAAACAAATGTATTAAGAATAGACGTATTCAATTCATCAATAAGTATCATTCAGATGGTGCATATGTATTATGGCCAGATTTAGTATCATCTCACCATGCAAAAACAGTAGCCATGTACCTAAATAAGGAAAACGTGCATTATGTTGAGAGAGTGGATAACCCTGCAAACTTGCCAGAATGTCGCCCTATCGAAAATTTTTGAAATATTTTGAAAGGCCTTGTCTACAAGAATAATTGGCATGCAGAAAATCTTAAAAAATTGCGTTCTAGAATCAAGAATTGCCTTAATAAAGTTGATATTGAGCTCATACGGAGACTAGCTCAGCCTATACCAGGCCTAGTTGATAACTTCAGAAGAAATGGTTTAATTGAGAACAACTGATTATCTAGAACATTTTTTCTTTTTGTTTTATTTTATTTCTTTAAAGAGATATGTGTCTTTAAATCCAGTCTCGTTTCTTAGTTATCACCCGTTATATAGGTCTAAAGCAAATCCACTAAAGCAATGTTTGCTGGGTAGTTTTAAAATAATTACTTTGTAATATATATATGTAATATAATATAAGTATATATATATGTATATACATATATATATATATATATATATATATATATATATATATATATATATATATATATATATATATATATATATATATATATATATATATATATATATATATATATAAGAGAGAGAGAGAGAGAGAGAGAGAGAGAGAGAGAGAGAATAGTTAGTCTTTGTTATATAATCAGACATATCATTAAGACCTTCATGAGCGTTCACACACTTGCATCCACGCAAAAAAATGAAAGTTATATAGTATATATAAACACTCGTGGTCTAAATCAATCAAAATGCATAAATGGTTCTTGAATGACCGATAGATTGATAACGCACCGAAAATATATATCATGATTACGCCTCTTTTATTTACATAAAATAGTGGGGGTGGGATGAGGCAAACCAAAATTTGATAAAGTTATGTGTAAAATAGACTGTTGAAATTTATAGCACTCTCACATAAACTTTAAGTTGATTATGTTGTCATGATTTAAATTCTCTGTTTTTAACTTCAACCTTTCTCTAAAATCTTTTACAAAGTAATTTTAGTTGTTTTAACCCTCCATGCTACAAAAATCATATTCTGTTAGAGTAAACTAGCCCAATAATTTGAACCAATTCCATTTCTTCAATATAGGCGATTCCGGTGGAAAATCGACTAGCGACTAGTTAGCAACATTCGTAACGATAAAGACTGCGATTTTGTCACGAGGATTGCTAGCTAAATAGGCTAACAACAAACTAGCGACAACTCGTAAAGATAAAAACAGGGAATTTTAAACCCCTTTTCACAAAGCACATTATTCGTACAAAATGTCAGAAAACTATTTATACCACGTAAAATCTTTTTATTTTTGATTTTGTTTAGATCTTTTTTTTTATTGTATCAGCAATTATCTAAAAGCAATCATGTTGATAACAAAGCTACGGTACGAAGTTATTTTTACGGTACGAAGTTATTGTAGTAGTTGAAGTAAGCCGTTTTTTGCAGTCAGTTACAACTTACAATCAATAACAAAGTTAATCTAATTCAACAACTAATTAGCGGTTTTGGTCGCATCCACTCACCATGGAATAATATTTTGGCTGAAGCGAAAGCCGATACAGGTCTTCTTCGCTTTGAAACTGAATTTTTGGCAAAACGAAAAAAGAAAACAAAATGGTATCACAAGAAAACTGCAAATGCAGCTTTCTGCAATGAGAGCCTCGAACATTAAATTGAGGTAAACACCTTCAACGTTGCGCTTGATCATTTTAACTATCAAGGTTTGACATTGAAACGTTTCTTCAAAGTTCTCATTCATCTGATTGAAAGATTAAGAACCAGATTCTGAAGAAATAAAAGCTTGTGAATAGGCACAAATCTACGCTAATGATGTCAAAGAAGACAATTTCGTGGAAGGGTGAACAATTCTTCAGTAAATTAAAATTGGTAAAAAAAATATTGTAGGGCCATTATGGGACAAGAATACTCTTTAAATTTCATGATGCTCTCAGTGGAAAATGAGTTGGCTAAATCTCTATCAAATAATTTTATAATAATAAGTTTTTCTGGTAAAAAAGCAAGCAAAGAAAAAAGCAAAAAGTGCTCTTTATACAGTTTTCTGCTATTTTAATTTCTAAAGAATATCTAATAATCTTTTTTATATTGTATTTGTGTTTCTTAGTTGCAATTTTTGAAGCGTGTGCAGTCATATATATGCATGATTGCATAATTATTTATTTATTTCAAAATTAGTATAAATAATTCCATATAAATACAAGTGTGCATTAAAATAGCCTATGTCCTATCATTTTTATTGAAACATACAAAAAACACTTCTATGTACATCTTGTAGTGTAAATGTAATTTAAACCAATGAAGAAGAGCTACATTAGGCTTCCCTATGTTGACCCAGTTAAGCTGCAAAAAGCAGCTGGTCAAGAAAGTTACAATAAAAAATTCTTTAAAGAAATGTACAGATGGTGAATTAACTGCTTGCTGTGAAAGAGCGTTCCATTGTTTTGTTACTCTATTTGTAAAAAAGTTTTCTCGTTTAATGCAACCTTTGACTATTTGAGACATTAATCGCTGATTGTGGCCACGGAGATTGTAATTTGTTTTTGAATTTAGTAGAGTTTGAGGGAAATGAAAGTTAACTTTGTCAATCTATTGAGTAAATTTAAACTGCTGGATTAGGTCACCTCGTTTCCTGCGATCCTCAAGTGATGTTAGTTTCGGCTTTTGTAATCTTTCCTCATATGGTAAAGGTTTTATCTCAGATATTGTTTTTGTAACACGTTTTTGCACTTTCCTTATCATTGCAATATCTTTTTTTAGGTGAGGAGACCAAACCTGTACTGCAAAATCTAGATGTGGACGAATGTATGCAAGGTACAGTGTTTTCCATAAAACAAGTCTGCAGCTACAAACAGCTTTTCGGGGACGATTAAACATTTGATTTGCAATTGAGACTGCTGTTTCAACTTGAGTTTTGACTTTTAAGTCATTAGAATCAATAATCTCAAGGTCTCGTCTAACTATTGTTTCTTCCAGTGTACAACGAGTTCCATTTAGCTGTGCCATTGTGTATAAATGTGTTGGCTTGTTAGTGCGAAATAAAGTTGTAGCATTTAGTTCTTGAGTAAACGAAGTATAAATAAAAAACTTAAAAAAAGGCAATAACCATTTAAACAAATATAAAACATATAAAATAAAATTTAAAATAGTAAAAAATAGCCAAAAAATTTAAACTAGTCATCTTTATATTTAATAATTATTACTTTTGAAATTTTCATAAAATTTCACTTCTTTTGAGACCCAACATGATATACTTTTAAAGAACTTTTTTTTTCAAACTATTAGGGACCCATTTGATGTTTAAGGATCTTGAACAACCCCTAAATAATTTTTTATTCAAAAAAATTTTTAATTTAGTGTTAATTTATTACATAGAACACATTTAGGGCGTGGCAGCAGACGATTTCAAAAAAGTTCATGCCAAATGGATTATTGCGTAGTATGTAGTATTATTGTGTAGTATTGTCTAGTGAAGAATTGATTTGAAATTTTTTTGTGGCTTGAAAAAATCTGGAAAGAAAGAAATTCTTGCTGCTCGAGTCTATTGTGCAATGGAAAACAATGTTACGCATATTAAAACAGCTGAAGAAGTGGAACATGATATATACACTAAATATGAAAGATAACTTTTATATACGGTGTTGAATTACCTGATCCTTTCAAACTCAATAGCGATTGATTATAAGAATGGTTGGTTATCAGAAGACGAAGGTATAACTTGTTGGCCAACATTCTGATATTTACAGTTATGTTCAACCCTGCTGAAGTTGTAAGTAAAGACTA